CCAAAACTACACTCACACATCACCTAATTTTATTTCCTTGACTGTAAGAGGGGAAATAAAGCATGGGTTTCCTTCTACACTCTTGAAGGCTTGGGGAGTAGAGAGTGTTTGGAACCAAGGTGGTGGCCACCTGGAAAGAAGCAAAGACCATTGCTTCCTGGTGAATACTGGTAATTCTCATCTTCTACAAGACCATGGTATATTTGTGTGCATCTCTAAGAATCAGTGAGAAGGTTTAACAGATGACAGGGATTGCAAGAGCTGTGGACACAGTGGGCTTCTATGGGGCTCTCCTGGCACAGTACAATTTGCACCGATTCCAGAGCCGAACCTTACACAGTTTGCAGACTTGGTTTTAATCTGTAGGGTAAACCTGGCCTGGTGTTACTATCTGGAACAATTTGTTTTCTCTCTCCCAAACCATTTCAGAGGAAGCTGATTCCCTTTCCTCTTTTCTGACAGAGGTGATGGTAGCTAAGTAAAACAAGAAGAAAGAGACAGCATGATGCTATAAAAGAAAAACCCAAACATTGAGAAAATAAGACTTTTGTTATATGTTCTGTTTGGCAGCCTTCTAGAAAATAAAAAGCTTTGATGTTATTTTTGAAAAGCAAAATCTTAACCTAATCATTTCTTCCACACCTTGGGTTTGATATGAAGTCATGTGACTGCATCAATTTGAAAGAAAAATGTCTCAGGATTGTTAGTCAGATTTGTAAATACATGGTGTTATTGAAATCCCACAGCCAGTTCCGTTAACCATAGAATGCAGTCTTCCAAGATGAAACCAGGCATCAGAACAGATATTTCATAAGTTTTCCATCAGAAAAATTTCTCCTGTGGTATTTTATTTGGCATTATCTCTTAGTCATTTACTTCTTGAACATTTTTCTTTGTGTATGCACTTTAAACTCAGTAGATGCACTCCTTCTAATTATTGGTACTCAGGAAGTGTTGAGAGGCAATGACAATGAAGGATGGGATCTGGAGAGAGGGATCAGAAGTTAAGAGCTGTTGCAGAGGACCCAAGTTCTGATAGCAGAACTGACATTGAGCAACTTACAGCAGGTTGTATAGGGGATCCAGTGCCACACACACACACACACACACACACACACACACACACACAGTAAAATACATCTTTAAGTAAAAAAAGAATTAACACCTTGAAGGAAGTGCTTCAAACCTATGGCTAAACAGACACACACTGTAGCCTCACAAGCCCCACTTACCATGGACAGACAGGCTTCCATCAATGAACACTAGGGAAAGTTCTTAACTTTGTGTGTGAGTGTGTGTATGAGTGTGTGCATGCATGTGTGTGCACCTGTGTATGTGTGTTTATGTGTAAATGCATGTGTGTATATGTATGCACTTGTGTATGTATGTGTGTACATGTGTGTATATGTGTATGCATTTGTATATGTGTAATATTGTATGTGTGTATTATATATGTGTGTGTGAATTGTGCATGTTTATGTGTATGTATTCATGGTTGTATGTGTGTGTTGTGTGGTGACTGGGTCCTGCAGGCACAGGGTAGAAGACAGCTAGGGTAATGAAGAAAAGAACAGGCCTGTGCCTCACAGTTCTGTGGTGACAGGGTCTCCCAGCAGAGCTGGTTCTGCAGAGGAGCACTCTCATGAAACCCTGGGTTTGAGCTCAGAGTGAAGCCTGATAGCAATGCTACTTGTCAACAATTGTCCTGGGGACTCTGGGACAGGTGTACCACCCACAAGAATGGACAACCCTCGCTTCTGACACAGGAAATAAGTAGACAGGGTAACCTGAGAAGAAAACAGGAGCCTTTGCCATGGCAGTGGATAAGGCTCTGCACTGGGATGCTGGGCTGAAGGGCTCCACTCATGCCCCCTGCTGGGAACATTGGGGCACAGGCCATGGCTTTGCTCAGTTCTGTTGCTTGCCTTGGGTTCAATTCTGGAGGGGTTTAACTCCCCAAATCTTGCCATTTGTTTTGAAGGCACTTTCTGGGGAAGAAGGGAGTCAGCTGTCACAGGTAATAATAACTCAGCTGCTTTGTTATTGCTTCAACTGTGCTTAGTAAGGATAGGGTTAGAATATTCTAAGTGAGCAGCAGTGCTTGTCGTGCCTCTTCTTGTTTCCTGACTTTCTTGGAGCTTCACTCTTCAAAGATGTTCCAGCAATGATGAGATCTGATTATCTTCAGAAACCAGATGATCATTTCACAGAAGCTAAATAAAATGGGGTTTATGAACATTGTGCAACCATACATGAATCCCAAACCAGTCCTGTCCAGCTGCAAGTGGATCCCCTCAAGTAGAACATTAAGTGTCTTCTAGCTGGGTATAATAAATCTCGCCTTTAATCCAGTACATGGGGGGGGTCATAGAGGATCACACCTCTATTCCCAGCATGTGGGGGGCAGAAGCAGGCAGATCTTTGTGAGTTTGATACCAGCCTGGTCTCTGCAAAGTGAGTTCCAGGACAGCCCTACTTCATAATGAAACCCTGTCTTGAAAAAACAAACAACAATAACAACAACAACAAAATTATGTCCTCATGACTTCCTGCCCACTCTAGGACTCGCACTCATGAAGGCTGTGTGTTACTATACAACAATGGCAAGAATGAGAGCCCTCCAGGCCAGAAAAATGTGTGAAAATAACATAGAAATCTGTCCCATTGCTCTCAGTGGCCTCTGACCTGCTATACACACTTATGGATTATGAGTGCATATGCCATCCACACAGCATTTGTGTTTTACATGGAAAAATCATATGAAACGCTTGTGTATATGGATCACATATGTGGGTCATATGGAGATACCAGCATATACACTGCACATGTATGTCACGTTAATCACATGCATTCCTCATGCTTAGAGCACACAAGAAAAGCACACAGAGGACCACCTAAAGTTAGTATTTTAATTATCTGTACTAATGGAGTAGAGATAAAACACGGATGCTTGAAGGAATATCTCAAAAGTGAGCTGTGAGACCAAGATTGACAAGCTACCCAGTCCAATAACTGGGGTTGCCTGAGTTACTGGGCAGCAGCAAAGGCCCTTCCCAGTCTCTAGGGCTCTTTGTGGATTCTATGAAGTACCAACAGCAACTCAGAAACAAGCTTATCACCCAGTTCTTCTCATCTTAACTCTACCCTGCTTGGCTCCCTCAATTCTCCTGCGTGCCCCAGGACTTTAGGGTACTTAGAATCAATATGTCTTCCTCCTGCCCCCACAGCCTATCAAGAGATAAGGCATTAGGTGTATGGAAAAGAAAAGAAACATGACCACCTTTATTGTCATTTTAACTTTAGAAACACAGTTAAGTATGTCCCCTGCCTGTCCCCAGATGAAGGTTTTCCACAGCCTTGTTAAGAGGGACACACCATGGCTAGGACATAGCACACACTGATAGCCACTGTCTCTAGGGTTGGGACAGAAGGGGAGAGGCAAGCTTCGCGATGTCTGTGTTTCACTCCTGGCAACTGCAGTGAGACAATCAGATGAAAACCTGTTGGTCAGAGAGAATGAAGTGACAACACCCATTTTTCTGTGGAGCTTGAATCTGAGAGAACTTTGAAGATGTAGGAATAGAGATCCCACCTACTTTGTCAAGTGGCACAGAATGTTAACTTTTCTGGGGAACAACACAAGGCCCTTGGAAACAGTGCCTCTTTGGTGTCACTCAAGCCATAAGAGACTTGTCATGGTAGAATTAAAAAGTTGTGTGGTGTGTCTGTCCATATCCTGGATAGACCTTCAAATTCAGCCCTAAGCACTAAGGTTGCTCAAGGGCGCGTGCACGTGTGTGTGTGTGTGTGTGTGTGTGTGTGTGTGTGTGTGTGTGTGTGTGTGTGTATTAATGTGTCAGACTCCAAGAGCACACTGTAAAGGCCATTGACACCCCCTGCTGATAGGAATATAAAGGGTTTATGTCTGGAGAGCAAATTTGTAACATAAATCAAGCACTTAAAGTATGCATGACTTTTGACTTCTCATGTAACTGAACCTAAAGCCTAAAGCTGTGATCAGAGAGGAAGTCACAGTTTTGCACATGAGGTTGACATCTGTAACATAATGCAAGCACATGGAATATTAACACAGTAGTATCAAACAATATAGACATATATAGACTTAGCTAAATGAGTCATAGAACTGAATACTAAGAATTTGGAAACCTGCACACACATAATTCCTGTGATCTCAGATACCTTTTACTTTTTTGTTACATAAACAGAGCATGCCACTGCAATAAACATGAAATCTGGCCTTTATGAGCAAGATGGACATCTTGACAAAATAAATTTAGGACAAAATTTTAAAATAGGAATGTGAAGTAGATGAATATGACCCTATGCGAAGCAGGCTTTTTCCTGGGCAGGGAAGTCAGATGTCTTTTGTATTTTTGTGTCCCCCATTTAAATTATGAACACACTTTTATTCATCAAAAGAATCACAGCTTTTTAGTTTAAAGGGTCATTTCTTCATCGATATACAGAAAACCACTCATCAAGGTTTAGTGGATGCATTTCAGTGTGGACATAATACAGTCTACAAATATCACAGTGGTACCATGTAGCAAGCTTGAAATCTCTATGTCATAGGACAGTAGACTGCAGGTGGCTGGGGAAGCTCTCCTCCACATTTCCCTCATCTTGAAACAAATGTGATACATACCAAGCATGTAAGCTTCTCCTGATAGCAGACAAGTGAGAGGGGCTAAACACTTGCAGCTGTAAGCCTTGGGCTAGGTGCAGGTCTCTTCACATTGCATCAGAAAAAAAAAAAAAACTAAACAAAACAAAGGGTCAAGTTCAAAGTCAAGAGAGTGACTTTAAAGATTGATGCTTCATTTTTTAAAGGCAAACCATAATAAAAATGTCAATTGAGAAACAGCAGTAGAAACTATTTCCTGATTCGTTTTTTATTATTCCTGACACGCAGTCTGTTTCTATTGGGTCCACAAGGAAGAGACCCTCACCATACTGAATGTCCTTTTTTGTCTCCTTAGATCCTGGCCAATGTGATCATTTTCATCTGTGGGAACTTGGCAGGAGCCTACCACAAGCACCTCATGGAACTTGCCCTGCAGCAAACCTACCGGGACACATGTAATTGCATCAAGTCCCGGATCAAGCTGGAGTTTGAAAAACGGCAGCAGGTAAAATGTGTTTTTAACCCTGCATCTGTACTGTATTGGGCATTTCTAGGGTACCAGCTATTATTTAACATTAGTGGCAAGCCATCTTTCTTGGTATAAACAGGGCTGAGACATCACAGCAGTGTGAGGCAGCTGTTTTCCACCCACTTGATCATGGACATCATCCAGAATGGTTTTAGTATCAGGAAGGAGTTTAATTAGGAGTTTGGTGGCTGCCATTGTCTGCAGCTGTCCTATGACGATTGTTAGAGTAATGTATAGAAATGCATATAGGGAATTACATTGATTGTATTGAAATAGTGCAAAGCATTATTGATAGGGGCATTGGGAGGTGTGTGGAGGCAAAGCAAACCAGTGTCCTCGAGAGTGGCAAAAACACATAAAACATGCTGGCATTGGTGGTGGCACATGCCTTTAATCCCAGCACTGGGGAGGCAGAGGCAGGTGGATCTCTGTGAGTTCGAGGCCAGCCTGTTCTACAGAGAAAGTGCCAGGATAGGCTCCAAAGCTACACAGAGAAACCCTGTCTCGAAAAACCAAAAAAAAAAAAAAAAAAGGACACACTGGGGAAGTCACTCGAGGTCTTGCGGTGGACATCCTTTGCTTTAGATGGTGGCATGATATTGTGTTCATGACTTTTCTCATTGCTATGAGAAAATTTTTGAGATAAGCATTATAAGGAAGAATGGATGGGTTTATTTAACACTCAAAGTTTGAAGTCTCTGTCTGTCATGGCAGAGGAGTCATGGTGGTGTAAGGCATGCTTCCATTGTGTCCACAGTCAGGAAGCTCCAGAGAGAGACGAATGCCAGCATTCAACTTGCTTGTTTTTAATTATTCTTTCTGGGGACCAAGTCCACAGGGCAGTGCCACTGACATTCAGACTAGGTCTTCCCTCATCGGCTAGACCTTGTTGGAAAACCCTGCATAGACACACCCAGATGTGTGTTTTCCATGCTGATTCTGTGTCCAGTCAAGTGAACAATTGAAGATTTACCATTGCCTGGGCCATGTGACCATGGAGGTGACAATCATGAATTAGTCTTGATGTAATTTGATGAAATTACATTTCATCAAAATGTACTTTGGTGGTAGGAGGGAAAATGACTTAAGTGTCGGCACCTGATTTCTGTTTGTGTATAGATTTGAGAATAATAATCAGGTTTTTTTGTTGTTTTTTTGTTTGTTTGTTTGTTTTTGAAACAGGACCAGCAACTCATTTGTTCAGAGAATATTTAGTGAACAGCATTTGTGGTGGGCATGGTTCTAGGCATCTGGGTGTCTAAGTGAGAACATCAAATCTCTCGGATTTTTTAATTAATTTTTTTTATGTCCTGCACAACTAATGTTAAATTTCTTTGTGAACAACAGGCCTCTTGGATTAATTCTTAGGAGAGGACAATGAAATGCTCTTTTCCTTTTCCAGCAAGCATCCACCTAGCAAGTAAATATTGCAACCTTCTGGGAAATCCAGAGCGTCACATTTCCACCAGGGCTAGAGAAGGACTCAGATCTCTCTCCCTTTTTAGCAGTAATTGTAGTCTAGCTGTCTCCATACTCGGTTTTATAAGCTGCTGATTGTAGAAGCACAGATTAAGATACACGTGACTAGGCCAAATACAGGTTAATTTTATTTGGGGAGAAGTCTCTTACATAAGAAACTGATGACCTGCAAGTTCCAGCTTCAATGATCCACACCCAGGTTGCTCTGTGACCCGACCGGAACCAAGAGAGCGAGCTGGGGTCCAGGACCCCAGAGCTAGCCTAACCTGTCACATCCACACCTGTGACCATGCCTAAATGGGTGTGGTCAGTGCAACAGGTGCAGGCGAGGTGAATATCTCACTACAGCTGATTATGAAGGATAGGGTCCATTCCCAACAACCTTGAAGTCTGCTAATAACTTATTTAACATCTCCTAGATACTTCAAAACCATAGACAATTGTTGACTTAAATGGCTGTTCAGTTTTCTCGATATACCCATGCCTGGTTGTGTGTAATTTCTGGGTTCTGGAAATTTCCACAGTGTCAGTAAGCTTCCCTGCTCAGTCACAGGTAGTTCTGTTGTAACATGCTGTGTTGAGTTGTCCTGGGGAGACATAAAGAGCATGCATTCACACAGAGAGATCGCCAACAGACCAAGGAAATAATTCCAAGGAAATAATGCATGAGTGGGTGAATTTATTGGTTTGTCCTCAGGAAAGTGGATGACTCAAAAAAACATCCTCATTACTGAGAGCTTGACTCTCAAGTCAGAAAAGCCACCTCACTGGAGTCCTAGCCCCACTCTACTTTATATCTCTTTGATGGGGGGAATGTCCTTCTGTATATATGTTTCTCTTATTGGTTGATGAATAAAACACTGATTTCCCAGTAGCCAGGCAGGAAGTATAGGCGGGGTTACCAGACAAGGAGAATTCTGGGGAGAGGACTCAGAGAGTGAGCTTCGAGGGAGATGCCATGTAGCTGCTGAAGGTCTCTGCATTCTCTGGTAAGATGAGGCCATGTAGATGTACATAGATTAATAGTTACATGTCAATAATTAAGAGAAAGTGCTAGCCACTAAGAAGCCTGAGCCATCTGCCAAACAGTTTATAATTAATATAACTCTGTGTGTTTATTTGGGGCTAAAAGGCAACGGGACCAGGCAGGAAAGAAACTCTGCCTACAGCTCTTATGTGTCCTAGCAACATCCAAGCAGTCAGGAGGTGAGGATGGAGTCCTAAGTGTTTAATCACCCTACCCCATGCTAGGGGACTTAGCAGGTTCATCACTGTACACCTGAGTGTCACTGTACAGGAATGCTTATTTCATTGCAATGACTACAGAGCCAGCATATCTCAGAGGTCACCACAGGACTCCCTGGATGTCCAATGGTCATGTCTGCAACTGCATAGTCCAGAATTCAAATGCTTTAGAGTCGAAAGTTTCTCCAAGAAAGCCATCAAGATGGCTCAGTAGTTAAGAGCACTTACTGCTCTTCTAAGGACCTGAGTTCTGTCCCAGCACCTGTGTAGGAGAGCTCACAACTACCTGCAACTCCAACCCAGCACCTGTGTAGAAGAGCTCACAACTAACTGTAACTTCAGCTCTGATGTCCCTTCAGGCCTCTGTGGGTAACCACGTCATGTTCACATACCTCACCCATATACATAAACACATAATTTAAAAAACCCAAAAGGATAGAGATGCATTGGATTGGTCTTGATAGATACAACTAACTTATTTTTCATCACCTCCAGGCTCTATTTCAAAATAACACTAAGGCTACAGGGAACTGAAATTCCAAGTAGACAGATTACGGAGCCCAGTGTTTACAGTCACAGCTTTGACAAAAGCAGTGATTCAGGCTACTGACATCATCAACACATCATATTTCCTTGGCATGGTCCAGGGCTTTGGAAGAACATAGCATTCTTGTCTCTCTGAGCCAAGAAGCCTAAGTGCTTTGGCACTCCTTGTGGTCATGTCCACCACACTCAGCTCCTGGGTCAAGAGTTCTCAGGGGCCACAGACTATGGGGCCCTCTTGGGAGGTAGCAGAAGGGGATGGACTTGCTAGTTGGAGAAACCAGAGGTCCTTCCTAAAAGGAAGAGGAGCAAAAATTTCTGTTTATGATGTTTAATACAATAGAGTTTGGTCTATCAATTGTTAATGGTCTTAAAAGCTTGGAATCCATCTCCAGAGACTGATGCCTAGAATACACTTTCCCTGTTGAGGATTCGCAAAGTGTGTATGTAGAAAGACAATGTGTGGTGGGTTGTTGTTGCTGTTATTTTTTCAGAACTGTTTATTAAATAAGACAAAGAAACCATCTTACTTAAAATAGAACTCGGTGCCAGGAGATGGCTCAGGGGGTAAAAGCACCTGCCCATCAGCCATGAGTACCTGAGTTTCAGTTCCTACAACCTGTGTACAATCCAGACACACAGAGAGAGAATCTTTAATTTCCGAGCTCCTCTGGGAAGATGGGAAGTAGAGACAGGAGAAACCCTAAATGCTCATGGGCAGCCCACCTGGTTCAAACATCTAAAATACAACTAACGGACCTCTCTCAGATAAGGGGGAAGGGTTCTGACACATGGGTTGTCCTCTTCCCTCCACACTTTGCTGTGGTTCTCATGTACATGTCCATGTTCCCATACAAGAATCCATGTATCTCACACACACACACACACACACACACACACACACACACACACCCCAAGATGTTGATCTGATAGATTTAAGGGAACAAATAAGAATTGAAAAAAATGACAATCTATGTGGCATTCATAGAATGGGTTAGTCCCAGAAACCATAAGGCCTGCTTGGTGCAACACACCAAACTGAGGTCTCCGGTACCATGTGTCCTTCCTTGGGTCCAGCTCACTTGCTGTCAGCCAGTGCCACCAGCTCCTATTGACTTTTATAGTACTGTGGTAAATAGTAGTATCCTCAGAGCCCCATTGTCCAGAAAGATGCATGCTGGGTAGCTAGGAAATTATTTTTGCAGTCATTACCTAGATAATAAATACTGCAACCTAATGTCTCATGACAGGTGCCCCAAAGTGAGCTGATACTACACAAGTTTGAGAGACCGTAATCTCAGCTTCGTGAATTCACCTTCTCATACCTAAGAGAGGAAAGCAGAGGGTGGGTCCCCATAAGACGACCTTCTTCAACCTATAAGAGAACTATAAACAAAAAGCTGTTGCTCCTGGGGCATGTGTAAAGAGTTGCCCGATTCAGGAAACATTTGGTTCAAATATCTGTGATGCTTTTCCTAGACACAGATGAGAAGGCTTTCTAGATATTACTATTAATACTTGAATAATATAGTACTATCTGTGCTATAAAATTTTGAGGAAGAAGAAAATGAAAGTTCTTGACAGGAATATTCTCAGAGTTGCAATTCTGCCCTAAAAGTCCACTCACGTAGGAGCAACAGAGTCCTTGTTTTTTATTAGGTGGGAACACATGCAAGTCGTTAGAACTGAGGCTGAGGTTGCCTTTGGAG